AACATAACCCACTTATAGCATATGTAAACTATCTTTCAAAGTATGGTATTTTTTACTAATTTCACATAAAACCCAAATAAAGTTCCATATAAAGCCACAGAGTAGTCAGTTATCACCTTTAAGACCTCTGTCCCAAACCTTTGTTTCATATCTCTGCCTCATTGGCTGGTCCAGTAGAATGCAAATCAGTTTTTCATAATTATCAAAGAGGATTATGAAAACATTTAATTTCCATCTACAGACTGGAAATAAAAACAAAAGCACATTCACAGAGTTTTCTGAAATTCTTTTCTTTTGTTTCCACTTGTAAAAGACTTAAAATGACCAGTTACTCTAATGTTTAGCTCCTCCTTCTTCATTTGGTTTATTTTCAGCCTGAGAGAGCACCTGGTTTGGATAAAGATCTCGAATTTCAAATATTGGTTTTATCATTGTTCAGTGCTCCTCTTTATTTAAAAATCACTTTGTGGACACATTCTTCCCAGGAAATATGTAGGCACTAGAGGACTTGCTCAGTTCCTTGCTCAGTTGTTTAAAAAGTAAGTCCATGTAATATATTTAGCCATAGCCAAGAGTTCAATTATTAATTCTAGATATAGGGGCACAGGCCGCCAGTACATAGATTTTGATCACAGCATATGCCCTGAAACAAATACTACACGTAGCAAAATCCTAATCAGACATGGTTTCCTTGTATAGCACTGCAAGGATGAAGGAACAGACCCCCTTATTCTGAAATAATTTGTTCAAGGAGACCTGTGCACCTGCATGACGATGTGAGAGTAGCTCACTTAGTGGAATTTTTTTGTAAAGTCTTATTATCAGTGAAAGGTTCACTTCATTCCCCTTGATGTGGTGGTCTGAGGTTTACAGGTTCCTGAACATAAGATTTGAGACAAACTTGAGAAAAATTACAATAATTTCCAAAGTGCAGACAAGTTTTGATATGCTTCAGTTGCCAAGGAATTTATGAAAGCCCATATCTAAGACTCTTTGGTTTCAGATCAGTCTCTAGTGTTTGAGACAAGCTGATTTATTTTAACAGAAAAAGACATTGCATAGTGATCTAAATCACCTGATTTATTACTTTGCCTTAAGAATGACTACTTTGCTGTGGATAAGATATAACTTTTAAGTGTAATAAATTTCGGTATTGTTTAGATGTATTATATCATTGTATTGTAAATTTGAAATAATATAGTTTAATCAAACTTAAAAGTCAACATTAGCATAAAGCAACACTTAATTAGCTGGCAGTATCCAATGAGAGCTGGGTCCTGTTGGTTACCAGCTGATAAAGGCACATTTTTTGACTGGCTCACTGCAGACTCAGTTCAAGTCTCCACTGGCTCTGGATAGTCAGTTATTTCTATCCAAGCTTGAGATGATTTTTTTTGAACTCTAAGTCTTTGGAAAAATAAATATAATTATTTGGAAAAAGTAAAAGTAATTAATATTAATGTCTGTATATAGGTTGATTGAAACCAATTAACCCCAGAAGGGAAGGAATGTTGTTAAACCCCTTTCTTGATTAAAAGATAGGTAAATTTTTGCCATTTGTAGCTCAAGATTTCTTTCGACAGTTTTCACTAAAGACTCCCCACTCCACAAATAAACAAAAACCTTTAAAAGGTTAAAATTTTTTTCAGGCTTAGTTATCTCTAAATTCTTTTCTATTTTTACAGGGTAAATACAAAATGTTCACATGTATACTACAGAAAATTTAAATATTTTTTAATTTATCTGTTCCTACAATTATTTGCAGTGCCTTCTCTAATTGAAGAGTTGGGAAAAAAAAAATCCCAAAAAGAACTATGGTGGCTCAACAATGCAGCTCAGCTCAGTTGAATAGCCTGCTCTTAGCAGATATATTCATCCACCAAGGCATTTTCCTATGCATTCTGGACCCAATCTGAAAAATGTGTTCATCACAGTATTCTGGGTAACCAATACCAATCAATTGGAGTTGCTGGTTTGCCATCCCACTAAGCTTCATGCAGTATGTTCACTGACTTAACCTTATGCTATGCTTGATTTCTCCTCTTGGTGCTGAGCTGTCCATCTGTTCGGTTAACTGCCCTTAAAGCAATTTCTCATCTAACACCTGACAACCTGGGGTTAGAGCCAAAGACAAGGGTGTATACTGGTTGCACTAGGCCTTACTATTAGGTACCTACTGAGTCTAGCCATATGGACATTACAGGAGAAAGTACTAGAACTCAAGGAAGATAACACACTGGATGGTTGCTTAAAATATGACGTTCCTTTTGGCTTTTCCTTAGTAAATAAGGAAAATAACTAATGAGCATCTTCTGAAGGGTGTTTAGGTACCAAAAGACTTTTATTAAAATGCCCCTTGGTTAAATCATTCAAAACTATAACAAGATCATTTATCTTTTCCATGCATTTCCAACTCTTCCATTTTTCACTCTTATCTCTTCACAAGTTTTATACGTTCCTTCTAAGTTGTTCAGTTCAGAACTCAGCAAGTCCTCTAGTAAAGAACATAGCCTAAGAGCACTAGAAAGAAATTCTATTTTTTATTTTACATAAGCTTTTTATTGAAGTATAACATACATGAACAGGGATTTTGAGTTTCCCCAGAGTAAATACTCTTGTTTACTTGGTACCGAGATCAAGAAACAGAACATGAGCAGAGCTCCAGAACCCTCCTTTCTGCCTTTCAGGCACTATCCTCTACCAAAAAAAAAAACACTGTATTTCTGAATATAAATATGTATATATCATTTTTATTTTAAAAATATGTTTGCCTTCTTTAACTCAATTTTCCGCTTGTGAAATTTACTCACATGATTTCCCAAATATGTAAGAGCTGCACTTCAGTAATTTTCTTGCTATATAGCATTCAACTATATGAATGTACCACACACACACACACAAAATCCATACCACTGTTGGTCAACATGTGAATACTTTCTAATTTAGGGCCAATTACAAATATTTCTCCATGTCTTTTGGTGTGCACAAAGTAATCATTTTTTTTTATGAGTAAAAAATGGGAGTGAAAATTGATGGGTCATACTGTATGTTTATGTTCAGTTACATTATTAGATTGTTTTGCTACCCTAGTGCTATTTTTGCATAAAAGATGGTCACTATATTACTCTGAAGCTATTCTTCACCAGAAAACAGCTTTTAATGGGCATAGACACTTGAATTGCTATCAGGCATGAAAAAAAAAGGATATAACAATTGAAAAAGGGCTCACTTGTTAGACAGGAAGCTGTACTTAGTATCAAGTCTGAGCTGCTATTCCTTGTTTCCCAAGTATGTAAGATAAGAGGTTCCTGCCACTAAATGGAGGACAAAGACAACAGTAAGAATTAAACAGAGAGACACTGTCAGCAAAGGCCCTGGAAATTATAGTATAAACTCATTAGTTGTAGAAGTCCGACTGGTCAGATTGTTGCTGGTCTTGAAGTCAGATAGTTAAATGTACACAACTGGCAGCTTGGTTGTTGTCACTAGTGAGACTGTAAGAACAAAAAGGGAGCTGTCAAGGTCAAGTCGCTGACCTTTGGCCATGGATCATGCTGGCATTCCTCAGAGGCCCGGAAGAGCCTGGTGGAAGCCTATTGCTTCCCGGCTCTCAGTCCAGCAGGACCATGTCAAAGTACAACATGTAAGATTGGGTTCAATAACAAAATCACATTTTTTCCTGAAATGATCCATCTCCACCACCACACTCTCTGATCCTTCCTTACCAACTCGGTGGCTTTCTCCTTTGGGTCTTCCATTTGCATTCGTTTCGTTTCCCGATGTGCTGCTTGGTGTATCATCTCCTTTAGTGTCTGACGAGCTGCTTTACATTTGTTTATCTTCTGCTTTGCCATTTCTATCTTGGCCTCCCCCCCGCCCCCCTCCGCCCCCCCCCCCCCCCCGCACAGTAATAAACTCCTCTCTCCATTTAATAAACATTTATTGAGGCCCTACTATGTGCCAGGAACTGGGCCAAATAAATACTAAGCAGCTCTGACTTCTTGGAGCTTAGATATAGCTTAGTTTGACGAAGGGAAAGGGGCAGGGCGCAAACCACTGTCAACCGTCCCTGGGAGGGGGAGACAATGAAAATGGAAAAGGGATCCTCAGTGCCTCAGTAACTTGGTTTCCGTAGCTCTGGGCTCTGGAGATTGAGTTCCAGACCTCTGGTGTCTCTCACAGAAGTGACACGGACAGTGTAACCAACAAGTAGAACAACAAGAATAAAGATGGCACAATAGATATCCACTTTTTATATTTAAACCAACAGCTTCCCTCCAAAATTAAGGGTAGTATTTTTCAAGACAGTTCTGACTTGATGAATTAAGTGATCTCAGGTATGGTATTGGTTTCAAAAAATTTATATATGTGTAAATTTTTTAATGGTAACTAAAAAAAGAAAGAAAAAAGCAGCATTAGCTTTCCCCCTTCCAAAGTCCAGGAGCTTTCATTGTGTATTCAAACCCCCCTTCGAAGTAATTTGCCATTTTTATGACTTGAGCCTACGTCCTCCTATGCCTCATCTTTGTTGGACTCCAGATACAATCGCAAATGATTGCAGACAAGAGGAGGAGACCGCTAGGGGACTAGGCTTTCTCCGAGCGGCGCTGCTAGTGACCCAGGCCCCCGGCCAGGCGGAGGCGAGGGCGCCCCGCACCCCGGAGCCAGGCCCCTCCGGCCCCGCTGGCCTGGCCGCCGCCGCGGGGCTGGTCCCGGGACAGGTGCCGCCGGCCGGGCGAGCGGGCGGGCGTAGCGCTGTGTCTGCGGGGCTGGGCTGCCGGCGCGGGGAAGGAGCGGCCGCCTGCCCCCCAGGCTCTCCCCGCCCCTGACGGGAGACCCCGCGCCCCCGCCGCGGACACCTGCCCGGGGTCCCCCTCGCGCTCCCAGGAGCCGCTCTCGCCCCGAGCGCCCCTCCGCGCTCCCACTTCTCGCGAGATTTCCCCCCACACGCTCCCCCCCCCCACTCCCGCCCCCTCCAGCCCGGGGCCGGCGGCTCCGTTATGGCTGCGCTGCGGAGGCTCCTGTGGCCGCCGCCTCGGCTCCCGCCGGCGCCCTCCCCGCACCACCCGCTCCCCGGGCCGTGGGGGCGGCCGGCGGGCACAGCCGCGGGCCCTCCCGGCCGGCCCGCGCCCTGCCCGGCGGAGGAGGAGGACGGGGCCGTGGCGCAGGCGGCGTGGCGGCGGCGGCGGCGGCGCTGGGGGGAGCTGAGCTTGGCGGCGGCGGCCGGCGGCGGGCTGGTGGGCCTCGTGTGCTACCAGCTGTACGGGGACCCCCGGCCCGACGCGGCGCGGGCGGCGCCGGCCCCCGGGGGGCCCCGCCCCGAGGGCGCCGGCCTGGAGGCGGAGGAGGCGCCCCGCGGCCGGGGGCTGCTGCCCATCCCGGTGGCCGCGGCCAAGGAGACGGTAGGTGCGCGTGCGCGGCGCCCGCCGGTGATGCCCGCCCGCCAGGTGGGCCGGTGCGACCGGGCCTGGAACACCGGGCCCCCGGGCCCCCGGGACCGCAGCCGGGGAGGTTGTGGCGCGTGAGCTCCGCAGAGACCTCCCGCCACCAAGACCGTCCCCTCCAGGCCGGGCAGCCCCGGGTTCCTGTCCATTCAGATGTCGCCAAGGCTCACACGGGACTGTCAGTGATGGGTGGGGACCTTGAGGGTTGCTGCAGCGACAGCGTATCAAGGGAAACCCCAAACCAGGACCAAACAAACAAAAATCAAGGTCATGGCAGGCAGAAAGCGGGGAGGGGGGTGGCCTGGGTGAGGGGAAGGAACTCACTGGCTGGGCTGGGCTGGGCTGGGCTGGCCACAGCGAATGGTCCAGGAGGTCCCGGTCACTGCAGGGCTGCGAGGTCCGAAAAGACATCATTGTTTATCAGCCGCAAAGGACCAAGTGCCCCAAAACTGGAGCTTCGGTGTTTCAGGTCAGAAAGAAGGAAGATGTCACCGGGTTATGGGGAAACACACACACACACACACACACACACACACACACACCCCTCTTCAAGAATCTAGCCCACCCATTCTGCCCCTTTCCCAAGATAGAATCTCTTAAATAGGGACAATAAGGGAGGAGATGGATGTATAGGACAGCAAAAGTGGGAACTAAATGAGGATAATGTTCAAGCATCATTAGCACTTAATATAAGGTAAAGATGAGTAACAGGCAAGAATGAGAACAGGCACATGATATTTTTGTTACATCAGTATTCTTAACAGTCATGTAGCTGCCTAGGAAAATCGCCTAGGAATATTTTCCCTGCAGGACTAGAGTGTGAAGGGCTCAGATGGCAATAATTCAGAAAAGAGGCAACTGTTTTTAATGAAATGTATAATCCCTTTATTCTTTGCACAGGATACACAGTGGCGATCTGATGCTGTAGGTGTGTCATTTCCTTTGGTGGAGATTGTTAATGCATTTAGATCAAGGAATCTATTGTCCTTCTAGCAGCAGATCACAAGTTCTTAGCATAAAGTGTGTTAATACAATGAATATTTAAAATACTAGAAAATACTTCAACCTACATCCTCCAAACCCCACACACATATACACTGAGTGGCCAGATTATTATGATCTTTAAACGCATAATAATCTCGCCACTCAGTGTGTGTGTGTGTGTGTGTGTGTGTGTGTGTGTATTTTAGAGGCCTGGTGCATGAATTCATGCATGGATGGGATCCGGCCAGCCTGGCCAGGGGGAGGGGACATGGGCGATTGGCCAGCCTGCCTGCTGGTCGAACTCCTGGTCAAGGGGACAATTTGCATATTAGCCTTTTATTATATAGAATATACACTGAGGGGCCAGATTATCATGCATTCAGAGATCATAATAATCTGGCCACTCAATGTATATAATACATTAAACTTGTGTTCTGATGGACAGAGACAGAACTTTTAATCAACCACAGTTGATCTGGGAACAGAATAGGAATGTAGGAAACATCAAGTATTTTTTTTCTTCTTCTTTAAAAAAAAAAAAAAACTTTACTTTTAAAATTGAGAGACAGGATCATGCAGTTTTAATTTAAAAGACCAAACTCAGAAAGCCAGGACTCGACTTACTGGTTGTATTGTTACTCAACTTCTCAAAGCCTGCAAAAGGAGGTTGACAGTGTCTTTCTCATATTGTTATGAGAGTTAAATGAGATAATACATTTTTAAAAAGAATGGTACCCCTAGCACTTAGTGAGCATTCAATCAATTTGTTTATTTTTTTACTTATTTATTTTATGACTCTATTTGCTTATGTTACTATTGTTTATTGTTAATGAAAGTACCTATACATTGTTTTTGAAGTCAAATAATACTCAAGTCCTGTATCTTACCCTTCCCAAGTTTCTAATTGTACATTCTGATTATTATACCTTTGATATTTGACCTTTTTTCCTCCTCTGAAAACTTTTATAATCTCTTTATCCTGGTGTTTTAAAAGCTTCACAACAATGACCACTGGTATGGGCATTTTTTCATTTATTGTAAGAGGTACTTCAGGAATTTCCTTTCAGTATGGAAATTCATGTCTGAAAGTTCTGTATACTTTTTTAAAAATAGATTTTTATTGGTTTTCAGAGAAGAAGAGAGAAGGAGAGAAAGACATAGAAACATCAATGATGAGAGAGAACCATTGATTGGCTGCCTCCTGGGAGTTCCACACGGGATCCACCTTGCAGCCTGGGCATATGGCCTGATCTGGAATCCAACCCTGACCTCCTGGTTTATAGGTTGATACTCAACCACTGAGCCATTCTGGCTGGGCCTGTATATCTTTCTTGTATTATTTCTTTGACAATTTTCTCCATTTTCTGTTTCCATTTTCTGTTTCCATTTTCTGGTTTCTTTGAAACCTCTATTAATTCTGACAGATCCTAATCTAATTCTACTCTTTCTTTTGTTCCAACTACTTCATCTTTCTGTTGGTTTCTTTTGTGGGCGACATCTTTATCTCCAGAGATAACTTTATCTCCTAGCCTTTCTAGTGAATGTTTTATCTCAGTTATCCACATTTTTTAACTCAACGAACTATTCTCTGTTCCCTGAGGTTCGTGTGTCACAGCGGTCTTATTTTGTTTTATGGCTGCTACATGTCTCTTTTTACCATAAGGATAGGAATTATACTTTTGTTTTTAAGTTGTCTCCTCCATGCATTGTGTTATCTCTTTTTTATGTCTTACTTAGTGCTTTCACTGCCATTTTGAGGTTTCCTCCACATGTCTGCGGTTGTTGCCTATCTATATTTGCGGCCACTCAGAAGCTCTTTTTACAGGAACATGGCTTTCTATTTGGTGACCTGGGCTTCTCATTAGAATGGCATCCACATCCCAGTATTTTATAGATATTTTTCTCTGGTCTCATTGGGTTTCTCCGAAGAATGGGAGAGGTGGGAGGAGCAGGACCCTCGATGCACACACAGCACATGGCATGTATGTGTGAGAACATGTGTTGGGGGAGTATCCCGTGATGTACTTACATGTTGTTATCCTCTGTTTTCAGCCTCTCAACTTTCTCTGCCAACACAGTTCCTTGTGTTCTGAAGGCCTTGTCCTTTCTGGGATCTGTACTCCAAATTAGCTTACTTCTGTTTGGTGTCCTCCTCCGTGGTACCCAGGTTGTGCCTCGGCTCCCCTGGTCAATTACCTTTCCCCCATCTCTTCAAGTTTATAAAAAAAATTAATGAATTCTCTTGAGTGTTTTGGTCTCCAGTCCTTTTCTCTGTCCTAGTTTCTGTATGTTTATACCTTTTTAAAATATTTTATTGTGATTTTAATGTGGTTTTGGGAGGAAGAGGTTGAAAGAAATTCATAAGGTCAGTCTGCCATTTTTTCAGAAGTATTTTAAACCTGTGTTGCCACTTCATTTATTATGCTTATTTGATTTTTCTGAATTGATAGAAATGTTTCCTTTTGATGTTTAAAACTATAGCAAGAGCCCTTGATTTATAAAGCCTCTTTTAATTAAGCGGTATATTATATTGAACATAGCCTAGCATATAAATTACCCTGTGTGTGTTATGAGACTAATTTAACGGATGACAATGTGCAGCAGTAACCTACAGACAGACTGTTCTATTACCATAGCCTTGAAGGTTTTTAAAGACATTGCCTCTGAACTTCCAGAAGGCCTTCTCCAACTCTACCATATACTCTAAGATGATGACTTTTTGCAGTTATTTATTAATTGCCTGTCTTTTCTGCTTGTCTTAGCCCTTTAAGGAGAGGTCTGGTGTTGGTCTTAACCACCTTTATATCATCACTAGAGACCCGGTGCCTGTAATTCGTGCACAGGGGAAGGGGTCCTCTCAGCCCAGCCTGCACCCTGTCCAATCACTGTCCCCGCCGCCTGGTCGCCCCACACAGGCCTCTGTTCAGTCATTTGGTCGTCCCTTACCAAATCCCCTACCGGCCTGGTTGCTCCACGCAGCCTGTTCGGTCGTTTCAGTTATGATGGTTGCTTAGGCTTTTATATATATAGATTGCCTGGTATGGAGCATAACCCTGATAGATATGCAATAGATGTTTATCAAATGAATAAGCTTATATCAAATACTTGTATGGGATATGCACATTGAAAAGACACAATCACAGTCTGTGAGAATTAATAGTTTAATATCTTGTTCAGCTATAGTAGTTATTTATAGCATTGGAATTCGGAAGACTTCAGTTAAGGTCAAAATTCCAGGCTTTGGGAAACCAAATCACATGACATTATATTTATTTTAATTGTGAAGTTATCTTGCCAAAATTTTTTCAGTAAACATGGCCTTGAACTTTATTAATATTATAAAGAGATATTGACAAGATTTTGTTTAGAACCTTTTAGTTTTAGCCTTAAAGTATTATTTTTGGTAATGGGGAAAAAAAAGTTTTATTCTATAATTGCCTTTTTGTTTCAGATCCAGAATTACTTTACTAAATTGCTTAACATACTTTAATCCAATGTTTTACTTATTATACAGAACACATTACCTATTTTATGATTTGTTAATCTTAAGAAGCTCTAAGCAACTTATTTTTATTCTCAAGTAAAAAAGGTAACAGTATTTGTATCTTTCTCATTTATTTCTATAATAATTTCCAGTAATTATTCATTTTTTAAGTTTCTTTCACTTTATCTCTTTTTCAGCCTCTTTTTAAGGCAGCACATTTTGAGACAGGGTTATGCTTCTTCTTTCCAGAATATCAAAGAATTTGACAGATGTTGAAAATACAAACACTACAGAGTGAGGGAAGTCACATAAAGGTGAAATTGAAAATAGGTTAATTCTGTGTAGAATAACGTTGGGTAGGAAGCTAAATTAGCAATCACCTCTTTTGGTTTTCTGAATCACTTTGTGCAAATAAATCTTCCAGGTGCTACCTGCATTCCTTCTAGTGGCCTGACCATGGTGTAAATTCACATATAACAATTTGAGTGTA